CATCATGATCAGGGCATATGCCGTCGAAAGGACTTGGGCCACGAACAACTGGATATTCGATTTACAGGTGAAGCAGATAACCATGAAGGCCAGGATGGGCACGATGTTGTAGTGAAAGGAGGTCCAGTTGTCGATGCGAAAGGCTGCGACGAATGCACCCACCAACATAAGGAAAATGGTGCCGGGTCCCAGGATGGTTCCGCCCATCAACATCATCTGGTAGAAAATGTACAGCAGGGAGATGTTATCGTTGATCTTGATCGTGCGCTTCGCATCCGCCAGCAGATCCATGATATTGGCTATGGTCGAGGGCACCCATCTGCGCCGCTGGTTGTAGAACTCATTAAATCCCTCGGGACAGTGGGTGTACGCATCACTGGCAGCCGAATACTCCACGCGGTATCCCCTCTGTAGGAGCAATGTGCACAACCAACGATCTTCGCCCTGATCGTACTGCACATAGTGACGAGCCTCATCCGACCGGGTGGTGTATTTCTTCATTACGTTGTCGTCCATGAGGGCCTTGCCCCTGAACAGGGAGAAGCAGCCAGGTGAACAGAGCACACAACCAATCATGTGTTCCGTGGCCTTTTGCAGCCAATGACCAATTGCGTACTCGAACAGCTGGTACCACACCATGGGTCCCGATCCCACGGGATGAATGCGACCACAGGCAGCACCCAGGTTCTTGTTCTTCTTCATCAGATCCACTAGGAGAGTCACCGCATTCGGCTTGAAGTCAATGTCTCCGTCCAGGGTCAGCAGGTAGGTGTTCTCCGCGATCGCATCCTTGCGATCCACCGAAATGGGCAGCTCCATTAGGCGATGTCCTAGCAGATAGTACATGTACATCACCTGAGACCAACGCTTTCTGTGCCGAATGCGGTCCTTGTCCTTCAGATGCGTGATGAACTTGGTCTTTCCCGGAAGCGTCCACACCAGGCGGCCTCCGTACGGAGTGGGGTACTTCTTGGGCGGACGCAGTCTGATGGTCGTCTGATGGATCTCGGAGGCAGCCTCGTCCATGGTAGCTATTAAAAGCTTGACGAAGCGATTGCACTGGATATCATCGTCGCTGTGGTCGGAGATTTCGAAAGCGTCGTCGAAAAATATGTGGGCTGCAACGGAAGTTGTGGTTGTTGGGACTCTAACTGCCTGACTAACTAACTAACTACTACTCACTCTCAAATTCGTAATAATCCGGATCGAGCACCCTCAGATACTTTTGAGCCACACGACGAGCACACTGGTCCTCGTCCATCCGCATGATGCTCTTCAAGAACTCTATCATCTCGTCTTTCGTCTCATGCCACATGGTCGCGCAGGAGTAGATTCTTGTGATGTTATCGGAGGACTTAATCGAGGGCTTGTTGGGTGCCGAGGAACGATCCGTGTGCACAGAAATGGTCTCGTAGTACTCATCGCCCTTTTCCTTCTCGATCTCCGAGAGATCCTGCAAAAGAGAAGTTAGGTATTTTTCGGATTAAACGAGGTTCTCTGTTGAAAACTTACCTCTGTTTTCACATCCGCCTGGTCATCGCGCCTGCGGTTGAGGGCCATCGACTGATCGATCAGCAGGGAGGAGTACATGGGCTGGACAAACAGCTTTTCGGTGGTGGCCAGACGCTCGCACTTCGGAGTCCAGATGTGCAGTGCTATCCAGGTCTGACTCAGGAGCCAAAGGATCCAGGCCCACGCCATTTGCTCGGTAACGAAGTTGTTAAACCGGAAGTTCGAGGGGCTCGTAAAGAACAGGTAGTCCGGAATGGTGTCATGGAAGAAGCAGGGATCGTCGATGCGGATTCCACAGGCTGCGATCAGGAACGTGACAGAGAGCGGAACAGTTAGACTGACCGGAAACGCGTAGCTGAATCCTTGGATAAGGATCTTGCAGGCGAACTTTCCGAAGATGTAGCACAAGTAGGCGCCGAAGATCTGTAGGAGCAGGACATACACCACCGTATTGTAGTCGGCATCTACATCCACGGTGTCAATGTTGGCCGATTCCAGGGTATCTGGAAGCACGCCGCCCAGTCCAGCTGGCAGTTCGTAAACTATGATCTTGTGGGGTCCGAAGGCGTCTCCGTACATGGCGAACAGATTGCCGGGCTCCTCGCCCTGCGCCCAGTAGATAAGCAGTGTGACGGTGAAGAAAAGTAGGATCTTCCAGATGGAGAGGAATATGTGGCAGAAGTAGCGAGTGTACTTCATCTCCTCCTTGATGCGCCCCAGAGCACGAACTAGGCCGAGCGGGGACAGTGGCGACACGTAATTCTCCCACCAGCCGCACGAGATCATGACACAGGCCACCGGGATGACCCACAGCTCCCGGCGGTTCTCCAGCAGCGGCCAGATCACCAGGCCAGTAACCTGGGCCGCCACCGCTGCCAGGTCGATGATCACCTTCACGAACCGCTTGCCCTCCTTGGAGGTGCGCGACAAGAGGCCGAAGATGCCCGGCACCACGCACAGGCAGTTGGTCAGCATGGCGCCCTGGATAGCGTCGATCTGGGGCAGAACCACGAACATCAGCAGGGCCATGCCCACGGCACTTAAGCTTTCCATTAGCCAGACGAACAGGAAGTGACCCGTCTTCGGCACCTTGAAGGTCTTGAAGAAGCAGATGCGGGCGGATCGGATCAGCGCTCCGATCTCGGGCAGGGCGTAGGCTATCAGCAGCGCCCAGATCCAGGCCACTCGCTCCTCTTCCGGGAGCCGCACCACGAAGCTTTTGTCCCGACCCTAATGGGAAACACATAAAAAGGTCAGTTAAAATGTTATGTTTTTGATAGATAGGAGTGGTGCTCTTACCAAGTCTTTGTTGCAGTACTCCATCTTCTTATCCTTGCGCACCTGCGAGGTCATGAAGAGCATTGTGCCCTTGGCGATGACGCCGCCGGTTAAAACTATGATAAACGTAATCACATAGGCGAAGATCTTCAAGATCTTTACGGTTAATTCTAAGCACTCCTGGTTCGCCGTCGATCCGGTCTCAATCTTGATCGGCGGATCCCGGAAAACATCCCAACCCTTCGTCTCTTGTATGGTGCGTTGGCTGAGGATTGTATGGGGTTCATTAAATTGTGTCTGAAGGATTTGTTCACCCAATTACATATTTTATGTTAGTAATTACGTCACATCATCTGATTTTGTATGTTTTCTATGCCCAATAAGGTCAGTGAAGTGATATAATATGATATGATATAATATTATATAATTTAAATGATATATTCTATAGCAAGTTGCTTAAAGTGGCAGTAAGAATGCAATAGAAATTATAATATTTTACATTCGAATTAAAAGATATATTTAATATTAGTCAAATATAAATGATATAATATATTATATTAGCCGCTTGCATTTAAGTGACCGGATCAGATCACATAGCACTGCATTGGCGTTGTCCACTCGACTAGATGATCTCGACTTCCGGCACTTTATAGACCCGACTCCGCCCGAATCGAACCGAAAGTGGTTGTGCAGCATAGCGGTCGCAGCTGGTTTAATTACAGCTTTTGGCTTATACACTGTACACCGCCGTTTTGGTTGTCTTGCGCGGCAGTTGGCCACCACAATACACTTGAAAAAAAGTCTTACCTGCCGCCATAGATGTCGTGCGTAAGGGGCGAGCTCTCGTCGTCGGTAAAGTTGTTGTCATCGCTGTCGCCGTGCTCTCCGGCGGCTGCCGCTCCGGCTCCTTGGCCCGGAGGGGCCATCGGGCGATGCCGCATCGCAGACATCTCCCACGGTTGGTGCTAGCCCCAATCTTGGATTGGGTGGCCAATGATCGGCTGCAAAGAGTCGGCGGAGAGCAGAGAGGTAAGTAATTGAGCCTGCGATGCGATTGTTCGATAAGCCGGTTTTAATGGAACGGAATGCAATTTATGGCCATGGAACTCGGCTCCCAAGGACAGGCGTCCTTTGACTCCGCCCCTAGACCGGTTTAGGTTTATGTTTTCAAGTCCCAGAGGGACCTTGAACGCTTCTCTTACATGAACAGGCAAAAAATCAACGTTTTCGAAACATCTCCACAACTTTCTTTCAGTTTTAAAATCTTACGCATTTCCTAAATATTTCTTTATCGATGTGATTTGCGTTCTGCAAGTAATGTATGGATTGTGTAAATGACAATTTGACTAATTTGAAAGTGGATCTAAGTGATATTTCTCTTCAGTGTAGCCTGAATATAGTGACTAATGGCTTGTGCATCTAGACGATTAAATTTATGTACATGTTCACATGCCTTCGTGCGCTTCTGAAATATTCTCATCAACTTTTCACTTTCACTTCTCTAACTTTCGGTATGGAGTTATTTAAGAAATGGCTGGAGCTTTGCAAGTTGCATGCTTCGCCCGAGATTCGCTTCACTTGTGCCACATGTGGCACGGAACTGAGACCGATGTTGCCCGGGTCTTCTCTTTTTATGGTAATTAGGTGCGAGTACTTTGAATTGCCGTCGCAGTTTGCAGCACTCCTCGTATTGTTCTGCCAATGGAAGGCCTTGTACCAGATTCTCGTCCGATCGCAATATTTATGGCTAGAGGCAAATCGGCGGCGTTACTCAATTGGTATTGGTACAGGAAAACCCAATGGTATTTACTTAAAGCAAGAGAGAACTATCAACTATCAGATACCCGTTACTCAGCTAGGGGGAGTGCGAACGAGAAAGTGCAACATTATTTTGGCTTAGCGATAAAAATGAAAACATTTAAACACTTTTGACCGGTTTTATTCTATGGCTCCTGATATTTTGTCGTTCATACGGACGGACAGACAGATGGACGTGGCCAGATCGACTGGGCTAGTGATCCTGATCAAGAATATATATAACGGGTGTAACAAGAGGGTCGAGTTCCTGCACTATCACATACCCGTTACTTAGCTAGTAGAAGTTGCAAGATAGAAGTTGCCAAGCAAAATAAAAATCTAAAAAAATACATGCCCCATTGGTGAATACCAAGAGTTGGTGGGCCAAAATGGTTTCGGCATATCGATAGAAATTGGCAGAGGAAAATATTATCATATTTCGCTTTTAAAATTCAACTATATCTGGAAAGTCGTAGAATACGTCAGACGAACTCGGCGACACTTGAGCAGATAGATCGTTGTTGACTGACACCAATCTGTTGTGAGAAGGAGGGGATTCTTGAGCTTGGGGACGTTCCAAATAAGATGCAAAGGTTTCCTGCAATCTGTGGAGCTTCTCCCTGAGTCGCTTGGTCAGATTTCCAGGAGTTGCGATCTGGTTGCACACTATGGCGCTCGTGATCGACCCTTTGGGAAGGGACCCTCCACTTTGGCGTTGCCTTGTTCGAATGTCCTGCTCGATTTTGCGACTCGTGTTTTTTTGTACAGCTTTGTCGCTCCTTGTAGGAGTTGCTGGAGGATTGGTCTTCCGTGATTTTCTGGACTTGCTTGGCTGGGCGTCCGCAAGAGGAGCGGCATGAGGAGCACACAGATTAAATCGGCTGTCCAGACTGAGCTTCACCACCAAAACGGATCGCTCCGTCTCGTAGTTCCGACGCAGGGCCTCCAGGTGCCGGATGAGCTGCAACTCCTCCGAATTGATGGGCCGCTTGAAGGTAACCTTCCGTAGCCGCTTTGTGATCTCCACCTCCGACATGAAGCACTTGACCAGCCGCTTTATCAGCGCGTTGAAGTGCTGATCGCTGACGGGACGACGATCGGCCTGGACTACCCGGAATCTGGCGTTCTCCACCTGATCCGGACGGACCAGACCCTTCATCATCAGCGGCGGCAGCTGAACGCCCCGGTTGGTGGACAGTTTGGAGCTGTTCAGCTGGGTGATCTCGAAGGTGGGTTCTACTGCTGGTGTCCTCTTCACAGTGCCCCCAACCATGGCTTTATTGGATAGAGTGACAGAACTGGCGATTTGCATGATGATCCTACGGAGTCTCAAGAACAAGACAGCAAATTTGGATCCTGTTATTGCATTGCAATGCTACACGGAATCTGTACAGTTGACTTGACAAATTTTACAAAGTTAAAAGTTTAAGGGAAGGAAACCAAGAAGAAGACTAACGAAAAGATATCCTGTGTGATTTCTAATTTAAGCGGCTCACCTAAAAACCTGAAAATAGCAGTGTCGTGCTAACCAAAGGAATCTCAACTGGCTGCTCAAACCAACGGCAGGCTCACCCTGGCAACTAAGTGTTGGTTGACATTGAGAAATGACCAGAAGAAGGCTTAAACGAAGATATCCTGGCGATCTTGGGGTAAGAAGTCAAAGTAATTATTTTTTAGAATTGTTATAAAAAAAGAGTTTTTCCTGTTCTGTAATGTATTCGCGATATATTTTCCCATTTTCTTTTACTCAACGTATTACAGCCATTAAGTTGGTTGATTAACGTTTTAATAAATATGTATGTTGCACTAAAAAAAAGATTGTGTTATGAATGAATTAATGAAGTAGAATGCTTAAAAACGCAATTTTGTATTAAACCATCGCTAGTATGCAATCGGTGATTACAATCAAGACCACGTTGGATAAGGATAGTGGTTCCAAATGTATATTAAATAACATGAGAGGACACTGGGGAGTGGATTGTTCTGAAGTTTTAGTGACGTTATTTTCCAAATCACAACCAGCTAAAGTGCTTGCACTGATGTGGGATGCTGTGGACTGCATCTGTGCCCGTGTGGAGGATTCTGCGCACAAGGCGACCATGGCGTCATAGGAGGAACCACGCACCCCTTTCCACTCCCTCACAAAAGGAGGAACGCACAATTTTAAGCGTATGCCGGCAAGGGTGGTTTTTACTGACACATCCTGGGAGGTGGAGGTGTCAGGATGCGAAAGTGTGGTGAAAGTGTGTCCTCGGAGTGCGCATTTTGTGCTTTATTGGGCAGGGACAAACGTGACGTTTCAACGGGACCGTGTGGCCTAAAGGATAAGGCGTCGGACTTCGAATCCGAAGATTGCAGGTTCGAGTCCTGTCACGGTCGATTATAAGCTAACTTTTTTATTAGATACTACTTTTGCATGGCTTAGGTACTCAAAACTCAACTTGTGTATTTTGAAACACAATAAAAACCAGTTTCTTTAACTTTGGAATCGCAAAATGCAAAATCCATTTAGTATGGAAAAGGCAATTGAGCAGCCATCGGACTCAACTCAGCAGAAACCGATTGGACCGACCAATGAATATCAAAATGAAATCTCGTCTTCTCTGATTCTTCAAAATATCAAATGTCCGCTAGAAGTGATTTTTTGAGCCAGTTGAACTTGTTAATTAACTCAAATATGTGTCATTCATTCCGTAAGCTGACTTACTTGGTTGAAGCTGAATAGTACGGTAGCCTCAATTTTATTTAAACGTAGCAGCTTAGGTAAATGCGTATCAGTAAACATTTATTTCTCCTAATGAACATCTTTTAACATATTATATTATATTAGGGGTTGGATAAAAGATCGTACCATCAATCCAACAATTGTTCTGTGCGACTGTGTGTTTTTTCTCTGAAAACTGAATACCAATATGTTTCATTTGAGGACAGCAAACTTAAATAACGAAAAACACCAACCTATAAACTTATCAACAACTAAGTCTGATATGATGATTGAAGGTGTCCGTTCTATAGAGCGCGCTAGTCAGAAAAGAGCAAGGCTGCAGTTAAAGGAAACATGTATTCAAGCCCCCAAAAGATATGAACCTAGTTGACCCTAGCCAACCTCAACATTCTAGTACTTTAACCTACACACAAAACGTGCTCCCCATACCAAATACTACCCAAGTGGAAGAAAATACGAATTTCCAATCCCATTAGGCATTCATGTCGACGCGTGAACCAACGCATAGGGCCAGAGATCGAGCGCAAAAAGGATTATTGAGTTTCAGAGCCGAAAAAGTATACATTCTCGTATATTCTCGTTTGCTGCCAAAGATCTCAGATAGCCAACCGGTCGGACAGGAAGGCAATCTGGAGCGGGCCAACTGGAGGTCTGGAGAACAACCGAAGTAGACAATGGGACACAGCTGCGGGCGTTTGGCGATTTCATAATTTTGTCTGATGTAATAACTGGGGGGCGTTCGAGGTAAGGGGAGAAGGTCCAAATGATTGCCCATTCGACCAAATAAAAGGCACTAGCTGCGGAAGAATAAATACATTCCGTAGATAAAGGGTAATGCCGAAATACACTAATAAAGAAAACGCAGAAAGTCCAAAGATTTTAAATTCAGTTCAATAAAATTTGATGTATACATCGTATCCAATCTTTTCTGTCTTGTCGTTTAAATATTATGTATGTTTAAGACTATAAAAATCAATTTATTTAAACTGTTCCATTATTTTTCCAATGTTACGGTCCACTTGGGTATCTTCAAATAATTCCTGAGTTCAGGTAAATAAGATCATATAGCAACACGGAATTGGCTGGAAAGAACGGTCCTAAGTTTAATTTTCGGTTTTTATTTAAAACCCCACCTCCTTTGAAAGGTAATTAAGCATGTACCGCATAAACTGATTTTTCTGTGCACCGATGAAGGTATGTATCCGCCCGAATGTTTTGGTTTTGCTGGCCAGCTTAGTCAGAAGCCGCCAAAGAAGGCGAACAATTAAAACCTACCAGCCAGGCACACATAAAAAGTGAAAGTCAGATACTTGTAAAAATGTTATAGAAATAAGCGAACACAGTCTATGCGATACTGGGGCTCAGATACCGATGTGGTTCAGATACAAACTCGAGTTGCTGCTTGGAGTGGCGCACAAATTGATTGCTACACTTAAGCCAACTAGTCAAAACGGGAACGCGGCAGTCGCAGCGGCCACGCCAACCAGCTGCCTACTGCTATTGCCGATCGACGATTGCCGGACAACCAGTTTTCGGCGGACAACAGGAAAGCCAGCGAGCTGCGGCCAAGAAATATGCGCCAATATGACTGAAATAGCAGGCATTATGCGCAAAATTGCAGGCGAACCAAGCCGGAACGAACGGCGAGTGAATTGGTGACATGGCCAAGACGGGGCAAGTTTTGGGGTGGGGATCCGGGAAGGGGCATCCATCGGTGTGGGTTCGAGGCGCAGTGGTCAGCTGGCTGGGATTGGCTATTGGTTACTTAAGCCACTGATTTATGCTTGCCTCAACGGAGAGCCACAATTGCTTGAAGGTTGCCTGCAATCCGATTGCAGGAATACCAGTTGCTATCGCCCCGGATGATTCATGGTTGCTGATGCCAGACGATTCACCCAACTCAAGAGATCGCCTACCATGCTTTGGAGAGCTTACTCCGCTGATTTAAGCTCTGGATAATTTGTAAAGTTTTAGTTATCACATTTTCATTGTTTAACAATTTGCAATTAACATAAAACCGATAATATATGCTAAGTTGCAGTGTATATATAAAACACCACTTTTAAAAACCCTTTACCAAAACTTAAAAACAAAATACTTCACGTAACCGCTATACTAAAATGATGAAACATTCGAAATTTTGAAGTTTTTAATATTTTTCAACGAACATTCAGCATACTTCTTTATAAGATTAGTTGAATCACATTCCAGCTTTGTATGTCTCGTTTAATTTAATTTTTAGTTCTTTCGCCTTTTGGGTTCCTCTTTGTCTGTAAACTGTTTTAAAAAAATTTCAGTTTAAATCACTCTGATTTTTGTATGTAAATTTTGCCGTTTTCTGCTCTACCCGACCTAAATAATTAAAAGGCATTCAATTGCAGACAACTTAAATGTTTTCAATAATGATGTAGAAGGTTGAATCAAGGTATTTTGATTATGTGAAATGAGTCACAGTAGAGGTTAATATTTGGATTTTACGTAACGAGTGAGATAAAGGGACTGACACTTCATTTTTGGGTTTTTTTGGTTTCTTTTCAGACCTGAGAATGATTTGTCTTTTGTTCGGGCTTTAATTTGAGCACCAATTGCTGGTTTTATTTTGGGTTTTGGAAGACTTAGCCATTCACCGATGAGTTGTCATGTTTAATGACACACATTTTCTTTTTTGGCTTCAGCTTGGGACATTGTGTGGTTTGGATTTTGAATCTGAAGTAAGATATGTAAAACAAAAGTTATATCCTGCTCAATGCAAAAAGTACTTTTTAAATATTTTAGACTAGTTTTATAAACAATTTGAATCTACCCCTTTAGCATTGACTTTGACATTCTCTTCGTTTACTAACTCCAAACAACAGTTACCTGCTATATGGATAGAAAACAAATAAACATTGACAATTTGCAGAGGCTTTTATTTGGCAGCGCTCCACTCGAAAAATGTGAGCGAAATTTAAATGAGCAAGTAGCGGGAGAAGAATCATGAGAAGAGACCTCGAGCCTTGAAGACAGAATCTTAAAGACGGAGCGCATCTCGCTGGAAATGCCAAGCGGATGAGTGGATGTACTTGGCAGTAAAGAGCTTAGCCAGGTGAAAACCGTCGCCAGGTGACCTTTCCCGCTCGTAATTCCCTGTGAAAGCCTCCAAACACCACTGTGTTGCAAAGAAATATGGGCGCTGGTTCTCTTTTGCTGACTAATTTAATCTAAGTTATAGAACAAGTTGCGAGATTTTGGGTGTGTTGCTTTATTTCGGCGAACGGGTTTTCTGATCCGCAAACAACGCAAATTGTTTCCAGCTCCGAAATGCTAAGTAGCCAGATTGAATGCAGCCTGTAAAAGCAAAAGTGTTGCTAGCAAAACCCGTTAGCAGCAGAAGCAGCCGCAGATGAAATAAATGAAAAGCGAGCGGCTGGCAGCGGAATAGAAAGAGATCCGTAACTTTCACATGCAGATATGTCTGTGAACGAGTGTGTTGTTGTGGTATGAGAATTATACCGTTGCTTTCTTGCGATCGGATGACGGCGATGAAATGGCACAATGGAAACGTCAAAGAAATGGGCGATTGTCTTCTGCAGATAGCGAGAGTAAGCCACTTGGCCAGGTGAAGGTGTCTACGATTTGTTGGCTATAAAGACATTCGAATTCAAAACAGAAGCACTTTTCATACGAGGATTATGGATTTGGCCAACTTCCTTTCTCTACCTTTTCTGGTAGCGGATTCGCTTGCGTGGCCCACTGATTTGAAAACTTAATATCTTATTTGATTTCTTTTCATTAACTTTTTTTCTTCGCCCGTGTGTTGGTAATTGTTGCTGTTGCTGCACTAAACTTTTGGCCCAAACACGCACACACTCGCATTTGGCCTCACACAAACACACGCATGCGCGCACGTACCGCTTTGTAAGACGTTTCTCTCTTTTTCGCCGCCGTCCGCGCAGCTCTTTTCGGGTTCGTTGTCTTCGCCAAACTGAGTTGAAGTCTTTCGTTTTTGCCACTGGAAGCGTCCGCTGCCGGAGTCGCACTCGCTGCGCTGCCGCTGGAAGTGAATATTTTATGAGCGCTTAAGCTTGTTATTCTGTTTTTGTCACTACCGCCGCCTGTTTTTTACCGTTTCGGAAACGTGTCCTCGAAATTATTGCGCATTTGCTAGTGCATATTCTTTCTCGTAAGAAGAGAAAGTTTATCTAAGAAGCAAATGATTTTTAAAAAAAATATATTAAAAGTAAAACCGGAATTTCTAAATTAGCTTTTTAATTTATATTAATATTATTCTAAAAATTCGATTCAACCATATATTTCTCTCGAATTTTCTCCACCTTTTTTGCAGCTCATGCAGAGTGCTGGATTTTAGTTTGCATGCCTTTATTTCTTTTGTTTTTGCGACAACTTTGTTCGAGGTCGTCTTGTTTTTGTACCTCTTAGCTGCTTTCTGCAGGCGTTTCTTATTAAAGCCACTCTAATATTCCGATCAAAGAGCGCAAAGATCTCAGAAGCTGAGAGGCGCTCTGGAGCTGGAAACACTTGACGATTGCATTCAGTTGCATTTACCGTTGTTGTTGGCTGGAAAGCCGTTCGGAGCATGCGCAACATCGGAGGACCTTAAAACGGTAATAATTGGCTGGAACAACTTGCTTTTGGTTTGGAAAACATATTCTTCTAATGTCTTTTATTTGATTTTCATGGCTTTTTTTAAGATGTATTTAAGTTAATCATGCCTTGAATTATTTATAATCCGCCTATGGTGTAAGCTTTTTAAAAATTGTAAAATATCGATTAATCGACGAACACTTTTATCGAAAAAATACTACTTGAAATAAACTAGGTAATATACTAGACCATACCAATTGTATCTTTAAATAAATATTGCCATGAATAAGTAAAAAACCTAATATTCAAATAAAAAATTTAAAAGCCATTAAATGAGAAATATATCGATATGTAGTATTGCCACGGCTCCATCCAAAAAAAAATATCCTTAATCCAAATGAGGCCAAATACCAATAACTTATTATATCCGGTGAAGTATTTTAGTGCTATTTGCCGGCGGCGCTTGGTATTTTGTCGCTGGGGCTGCGGTCACACTGGTAGTGTGCATAAAATAAAAGGCAGAGGGCAATTTAACCAACAATAATAAAAATAAACAGCCGACCGACCGATAACTCAGTCCCAAAATAAGGCGCACCTAGTATAGAGGAGCAGACGAACAAGGCGGCTGTGCGGGACAGAGGTGAGTATCGGATATTGTCAGCTTCCGAGAATCCCAGATTCCGACCTTCCGGAACTGGCGTACGAACGTGACCCTCTGATGAGTGCATGTACACTATGTGTCATGTATATATGTCGTATGCCCGTAGATCCTTCTTACCGGAGCGGCGTGGATTGGAGTGCAGTGCAGTGCTGCTGAGCGTGACAATGGGCGCCTGTGTGTGTCGCATGAACCCCGACAACGAGACGATGAGCGTCTCCTCGGCGAGCATCTCGCGTCCGGCCAGCGCAGGTGAGTGGCCTTCGACACATGCATTGACACCTTCTATATAGCGTCAATTCAGGCATTGCCATGGGTGCTGCGCGCAAGAACCGACCGCTCTGCCACGAGACCATCCGGTGGCGATCCGACGTGCCACTGACCGAGGGTCAACTGAGGTCCAAGCGGGACGAGTTCTGGGATACTGCGCCCGCCTTCGACGGCCGAAAGGAGATCTGGGATGCGCTGCGGGCGGCCACTACCGCGGCCGAGGGTCTTGACTTCCAGATGGCCCAGGCCATCCTGGACGGGGCTAACGTATCGGTTCCGAATGGGTGAGTTGCTAATATTATATGATATGACCACTGGACAAATAGATGTTACTTTTTTTGGTAACCAAAAAATCATGTAGTAAGTTATGTAGTAAGATTGAAGACCTGACACTCATGTACAAACAATTTGTACTACAAATCCGACAAGTTTCTAATGCTAATTGCCATCGCCCAGAAAATCAATAATGTATACAGTGATTTCACATGGCCATAACTCCATTAATGCATGACAGCGATTTGCAAGTGTCCTTTGCCGGACACCACAGGGGTGTCGTAAATTAGTGATGAACCCCGTCAGGAGAATAGGAAACGGAACGGAAATACAAAGTTCGCACTACTGAAATGAATGTTATATTGATCCAAAATGAATGTTATATTGCTTATTAAGAGAACGGGTTGGTGGGGAATTACTCATTAGGCTGCTTTCGTTACCGAATTCCACGTTTATTATTAAGTAATTCCTGCCTAGAGTATTTGACCCTTCGACCCCTCGACTGAACTTCGCCGCGCAAACGTTTATATTACACATCGATTTTTGACTGACACTCTGGCACTCGCCTCGGACTGTCGAACACATTTATTTAAATGCAGCGCTGACCTTTCCACCACTTTCGGCATTGCATGTATCAGTGTACTTGAAGGGAGCTCCCTACGTAATTCCGCTACTATCTACTCCCTTATCAGACTTGGCCTATTTGGCATTAAATCATTAGCATTTGGCTTCATTGAGTGAATCATTTTTGGGCTGCATGGGGATTTACGATAAGATAATAATAGTGAGCCCGCCTGGTTACTGATCACTGTTCTGCTTTTCCACAGCTACCTTACAGAATGCTACGATGAGCTGGGCACCCAGTACAAAGTGCCGATTTACTGTCTGTCATATCCCATTAATATCGTAAAGGAGGAGAATGGGCGCGACTCGCCTGCCGAATACTCTGAGCCCGTGGATGGTGGCACCGAGATCTTTTTGAAGCTGCGCATATCATCGACCATGACGGATGTTAAACTTCCGGTTTACTCCAAGGACACCGTAGGGCAGTGCAAGAAAAAGCTTCAGGTGAGTGCAGCAGTCAACCATTTATCGATTATCACTAGTGCAGTTACAGTACGAAGGAATTTTTTTATCTATTATATTTTTATTTTTATTAAATATCTAATCCATAGGATCAGGACTAGCACGATTAAAAGATATTTATTTTACTGTGCAGTAATTAGCAGCATTATTAATATTTAGTCAGCCGCCTAAGATTCCTGGAGTTCTAATCTTTCCCTAAACTTAAACTTTTTAGGCCGCCGAGGGTGTCGACGCCTGCTGTCAGCGATGGTTCTACAGCGGCAAGCTGCTGGGCGACAAGGTGCCAATCGACGAGTGCAGCATACACCCGGGATATGTGGTGCAGGTGATTGTCAACACGGAGCACTACAACCACGACAACAGCACGAGTACAGCGCACGCCAGCTAGCGGCGCAGTCTACTCCCACTAGTCAACCGCATCAGCAAGGAGCCACGGCAGCAGCCGCAGGATCAGCATCATCAGCAGCAGCAACTTTTGGCCAATACGGGCAACGGCATCCGGAGGAGGACGATTGTCATATACTCAGTTCATGGCTCAAGGAACCATAAGGGGAATGTACAGAAAACAACAGAGCATCAACGGGTACAATAGCAACAGCATACTCATAGCATTTATCAAAACAAGCAACAATTGCAAATTGTGTGGCCCTGTCTGCCTTGTTGCTGTTGCTTTTGTTGTGGCTGCTCGTCTTGTTACGCTTTGTTTAATATGTCTATATATAAATTGTAAAACAAAAGATGGAAACTGAGTCGCTGAGAAAGGGAAATCGGAATGAGAATGAGATACATAAATCATAAACTTATATATATTTTTTTGATGATAATTACATTATAAAGAAACTGATTTAGGCAGTTCAAAATGCATATACTGTCAACTGTATATGAAAGCAACTACATAGAGAACAGTAACTAAGATCTTGGCCACTTGTCTATTGAAAACTGAAAATGTGTACAATTTTATAAAACCAACATAGAAGGCCTCTATTAACTAATTGTAAGCAAGTGTTTGAGCATTTGCCCGATGTATATGTAATGTAAAAATAAACGAGAAATGTAGTATTTGGCCGCAATAGAAAGCATGCAACAAACATTTTTTGATACTGTACAAAATGCCAAGCGCAACACTATGAGAATGATCATAATTGTGACCAAACACAGAGAGCACACAGATTGTTAAGCAAATAACTTGCTCAAATGTAGTTAACAAGAATGAAGGAAACACATCGTGAGAAGGGAGTGCAGTGAAAGCGAGGTAGGGAGTAGGAGAGTTAACCCAAGTACCTTATAAATGTATATGATTTAATTTGCGTTTAGGGTCAATAACTTATCTCTGAAGCACATGAATTTCTTGTATAATTTTTAAAAAAATTTCCGTTTTAAGTGTGCTAGCATAAGCATTTACTGCGGCGGTATATTAAATGTGTGGTCCACATTAATAATAATAATAATACGTGCACTGGAAAAGTTAAGGCTAATGTGTTTTACTTCAAACGCTTTCTTTTTTAATTGTTATAATAAACTAGCCAATTATTAAGTATTTGGATTCAACCATTTTTTTTTTTTCATTATATACTCCACTAAAGGCCTTATTTAAATAATTTTCAATGCTATGAGACATCCGCTATTTAAACTATTTCTGTAACACACTGCGCGAAAGTGTAATGCCAAAGTTGAAATAAATAAGATGGGGGCAAGTAAAAATGATTGAATACTTAGGTATTCAGATGGGCAAATCGTCAAATCGTTTTCAATGATTTTATTGAAAACCATCAATATTTCACTATTATGATAAACCAGTAAAGTCTATTTTTATTCTCGCGAATCCATCTTTTGCAGCAAGGTGAGAAACGAGAAGGCAGTAGTAATAGTCTTAAATAAAATAAAGAAAATACACGTATTTTTAGCTTGATTGTAATTAAACTCTATGCAAGGATACCGACCCCTCTGAACCGATCCACGTTTAGATTGCTTATTTTCCCGGCAGTTAGTTGAAACTGCCTGCGGGAATTCAACATGAAAAATATGTAATCACTGCGAACCTCCTTCAGATGTCGCTGCCATGGACTTCTCCACAGGGCTTCACCACACCGCTGACTGTTCTGGAAAACGATGTCCGCGAAATAGCAGATGATAAAGAGCTCGTAGAGAACTAGGAGCAGGTACTGTCCCAAGGAGACCATCCGCATGAAGGAGTTGGCCGAGGTGCTCTTCGTCGAGACGAAGGCCACCAGGCACATGAGGAAAGTGACCTCACCAATCTTCACAAACCAAATGGGACTGTAGAAATGCTCAATTTTTTTCAGTGCCGCCACTATATATCGGTGGTGCTGAATGCACCGTACAAAAGACAGCCGGAATGCTGAGTAGAAGTCCATTGGGCTTCCGGCGTTTAAAAGTTCCTGCAGAGGAGTCTCCTCTTCCACGGAGTAGGTATATTGACCTGGCTCGGCATCGGCCGCAGATTGCTCAGCCCGCAACTGACTGCAAGCATAAACGGATTTAAGGAATTAAATGAATTCATATATAATAAAACCTTTATAAATGAAATTACTTCAGTTCCGCCATATTGGCTCCCATTAGCACATAGCTGCTGGCCAACACGTTCTTGAGACTGCAAAAGAGTATATCGTATTGTCCTGATATCAGGACGCAAAGTACCATATGCAGACCACTGGAGGAGGCGAAGGACGCGGCCACTTGGATCTGTCCCATCGCCTGAAGAAGGAACACTACCTCGTAGACAATCGGTTGCTGCGGATGGTGTCCCTTAACTCAGTATTCCTTGTTTATACGTGTATACATATCCTTAACTCACCGTGTAGTCAAAGGGATACCAGCAAGCGAGAGGAAGGCTCCCATCCCTGTAAGCAATCGGAAGTGCCAGCCAGAAAATAGTGCCGATGTAGCAACAATACACGTAGGTTTTGATCCATAGCTTGGATATCCGATAAGAACCCGCCATGGTGACGAAACTGAATCCCACAGCAGAACGTGGCTCGTACTCATCATTGATTTTGGACAAAATTGCATTCAACAGTCCAGGTCTGAGCCTCCGAAAATAGAGCTTCATCGCTATGGTCCACAGGTAAATAATAGTTTGTATCAAACAGTTTACGAAAAAGTCCAAGTCGCCTTGGCCGTAGTTGATGTATATGGTGCAGATGTACAGGCCGGCTATATGCACCGATACGAAGTAGTTAAGGAGTTCATAGGCCAAGTCACAGACTCGCGCCAGATCGGCCAGGACTCCAGTGCCCCTCACGTAATACCCGAAGGGATACATGGCCGCTATGCACATGGTTTGCCTCACAAATACGAACAGGTCGCGACGCCTGGAGTCGGCTGTAATCCTTTCTTTCTTGGTTGTGCTTTTCATTCTGAACAGAAATGTTATTTAGATCTAAGGCTTTAGTCCAACCCTTTTATAGGTTTATTGCTTCATGAATTCCTATAAACTTTTCAATTATATGTTCTAAGCTGAATAAACTTTAAATTATATGTTGCAGCCACACCCAAAAAATAAATGTTCATTGTTATAATATGAATAAATGATAAGCTTGGTTGGCAAACTTTTTTTTAAATAGGAACTTTTTAAAGGATTTATTACTATTTGAAAAGGACTTATTTTACAAATAAATTATATAGACATAAACATGAAAGCACTTATTTGCACTAAGCAAATCCTCCTCTCCTTTTCACTTACAAAACATGAATGAGTATCAACTGAATTGCTTAGTAACGGCTTCACTGATTTTGGCCAAGAGCAGTTTACTCAGTTGGCCAACGGCAATGTGATGTACGTATTGCACAGTTTGGCAACTGGGTTTCACAAGTCATAACGCCACTTACCAACCCAGCCATTCAGACGGGTTCTGTGCCATTCCCTAGCCGGACGGCCATCGGGCCATCAATTCCAAATAAACCCTGCCATCGAGGAAGGAAAGCGCTGCCCATCAAAGCCCAGTTGACCATGTCCGAGGAGTCGTGACTGCGATATGTTGGCATCACTTGATTTCGTACGCCGAAATGCGCACACAACAATGGACGGACCCAATATGTCGGAGGAATAACTCAGCCGGGAGGAAGCCGTCCTGGGCTTTCCATCCTCCCACTGAATGCGACATACTTTCCTTTCCGTTGATCAATGTGCATGTTGCACAAAGTGGCGACATGCGACGAGTGAAATATATGGGTGGCATTGTGCACTGTGGCACACGCCATCAGGCATCGGCAGCGAGTCCTGGTCTGTGCCCTCATCCCTCGCTCGTTCATTATTTTAATGGCGCGTTCGTGGGGAAATGCTTTCCTTCCTTGGCACCCAGTCCTCACCTACTTTGTTGTACGGCGAACAGATGGGGACAGTTTGCCTGATTAATTTATTCCTTAATTTGATGCATTCCCATTCCCATTTCCTGTTCCATTCCCATTTGCGGAACTAGTTCTACGTACTACATATGGAGTTACATATTAGTCTTCAATGCTTAGCTTTCATTTTCACTAAATAACCCAACATCCAATTCATGGTAAATAACTTTTATTTTCCCCTTTTAATATAGATTAAGTTGCAGAATGGGTTGTGTGTATTTTGGCCGAAATATTAAATTAAACTTTGAGGGGTTTCAAATCTTAACCTTGGTTTAACTCAGTATTTGGGAGTCTTTTCTATTTGAGATGTGGATCATCCGTTGCAGACTAAGTCATTTCGTCCAGAAGGTACCACAATAAAGACGCAATTTGAAATTATTTATTCATTCCTTAATATGCTGGTTCTTTATTATTGTAATTACTGCAATGTACTGGTGAAATAAGATAGATTTACAATGGGTTCTGGCGAAAGAGTGAAGCAACTAAGCAAGGGTCATGCACACGAGCTTGGACTAATCAAATGAGCGGCTAAAATGAGCGGTTAGACAAGCTGGGTTGAGGTCGCAGGACCTGGGTCCAGGAGGATCCTAGTCCCTAGTCGATGTTAAGCTGCCGGAAGGTGCCCTCCATGCCGAAGAGGTCGTCGCTGGTCTTGGGTGCGCCGGGGCGCAGGGCCTCGTTGGCCTTCTTGTCCTCCTGGTCCTTGAACCACTGTGTGTTGTCGACCAGCTTCTGCTTCCACCACTGGTTCAGCTCGACGACGGCGCCGGCCTTGCCGCCGTACTCGTTGGGCAGAAGGTCGCGGGGCACCACCTTGTAGAGGCTCTCCACGTCGTTGTGGAAGGTGATGCGGCTGCGGATCTTCTCTTTCACGAACGGCTTGACAAAGTTGAAGATGGTGTCCACCAGCGGCGAGATGTTGATCACGTGCACCTCCTTCACCTTCACCGGATACGCCTCTTGCACGGCGATCAGGAACTTCTTCACCACGGTGGGCGAGAACTTGGCGAAGTGGGCGGCGCTGGCCACCGAGGCGTCCAGGATGAAGATGTCGCCGGCGATGCCGACGCTCTCCTCCGCCAGGCGCACATCCCCGATCATCAGGGCCACCTTCATGGCGTCCAGGATGTGGTGGGGCTGGAAGTCGCAATCGATGCCCCGGATGAACGTGATGCGGCGTCCATTGGGCGTGATCCCCGGGAGAGTGGGGCAGTGCCTGTAAGGATATTACAAAGGATATTAGAGAGACATGTATTAGTTATGCTTACTTGTTTTCTGTGGGATACTTACACATAGTCCAGTACAATGTTGAGCTCCTCCCGGTTGATGTCCCGGTTGGAGAAGAACTCTGGCACCGCATTGCGCATGGTGTAGTACATGTCCAGCTT